CAAATGACATGGGCAAACCCGAAATAATAAGCACGAAATTGAAATCTTCCTTCATCAGCAAGAAATTGATTATTTTCAAATTCAAAATGACCAATTTCAATTTATCATGGAGAGTAAATGAAACTATTTCATTCTTTCAAGAAAGTATTTTACTCTCCACAGGAATTTGTTAAAAAGGTCCTGAAATGCAGCTACATGGTGATGCACTATGGAAAATTACCAGAAAAATGCCACAGCAACTCATTCCGTGATTCAAAGATCGCATTCCTAGCACCAGTACGCTACTATTGCCGATTTATATGTAGATATCTGAAAAATTGTTTCGTTAAAGTTATTTCAAAGCACTTTTTTGGTTGGTATGACGTCTAATCTTGGCGACATGTTTTAAGCGCTTTGGTAACCGATTGAAATCAATAAAGTACCACGGGTAAACTCGGTTCTCTTTAATTTTTTTTTAGTGTTCTTTGCTCTTCACAGCACTAAATACCAAGCAAATTTTGTAACAAGCCCAGATACTCAATGGTATGCTTGCATTATGGAAGAGTTATCACCCGATTTAAAAATATTCGACAAAACTGTCTATAGTTGTTATATTCTAGAATCTAAGAAAGTTCAAATCTCGGGAAATTTAAGAGTAACTAAATGACATGGTTAATTATTATGGCTAGTATTATGGCGCCAAAATATAAACCTGGTAATACTTCTCTCGCAGTTCTTCTAATGCTCCTGAAACAAGTATATTTGCAAAACTATCGAATTCTCAGAGAGTTTACTATAAATTAAATGCATACATTTGAAAACAAAAGCCATTTAATATACTTTCTTCTAGAGAAATTTGCCAGTCCTCTAAAGATGCGATAAGGTAAACCGTTTCACATGAAAAAGGGCGGAGATATTTCAGAACTCTTTGACGCTTACTCAAGCTGAAGACACCCTTTTAAAGAATAACATAATGGAGTAAAACTGAAGAGAAACTTAAGACTGAAAAAATTAAATCGGCAAGGGAGATTCAAGTTAATATAATGGTACCTTAGAAAGCGAAAATTATTCCTCCGAGTGCGTCCGAGCTTCTGAAGCTAAAAAGCACATAAAACAGTTAATCATCTGCAAATTAAATTTTCAGTACAACTTAAAATATCACTGCCGAGCAACTAGAAATAAACCTTCATCAGGAAAACAGATAATTGTACACTTGAACGTTTTACATTTCTCGGGTTTTGAATCTGGGAAATGCATTTGTCGAGGAAAGCAAGTTCAACTTCATTTGCTTATATTTTAAAAATCATTTGGCAGAAACAATACATTTTACATTCCTGCGGGTTTTGAATTTGGGAAATACATTTGTGGAAGAAAGCATGCTCAACTTCATTTGCTTATATTTTAAAAATCATTTTTCAAAAATAATGCAACAAACACACAGCTTTGTTTCTGTAAGCAGGGGTGCGAGAAATTTTAAGGAGTTTGAATCTATAACCCTAACTGAATAATGCCATTAATTATTGAACAAATACGTAAATACCGTTAAATAATATACGATTATAATTAGAGGTTACGGTTATTAGAGGGTTATAATTAGAGTGATCCTACTCAGGTCTATTTAGAGCCCGTTTTGTTAGACTTATTTCGTTGAAACTTGGCATATACGTAGGGTCACATAGAAACAAAAATGTGTTAAGATGTGTTAAAAGAAAATTTGACAATCAGTATTCCAGATCTTTGAATTAGAAATTTTATGCACTATTAAAAGACTACTGAAAGAAAAACTACGAATATTCGACTTAAGGGGCCGCCCAGACGGTATAGTGGTTAGGGAAGCCTGACTGCGATACCGAAGGGCCTGGGTTCGAATCCTGGAAAAGGCATGGTTGTACCTGTCCGTCCCTTCAAAGGAGGCGATGGTGGCCCACCTATTAGGTGCCTCCATAATAAAGAGGCCACCACATCTGGCCTTGTATAGATTAATGGACTGTGTTGCACTGTAACTGTTCACAATCTGCCATTGGAAAAAAATATTCGACTTAAGGTGTTTGAAATACTTCAACCATAAGTTTTAAGTTAATTGCAGGGAATCTTGAGTTACTTAGAAATGCAAAGCATTACAACGTATCATTTACACTGTGTCAAATTAAAATGAGGAATTTTTTTATGGAACGGGGAGAAAACTTAATTGATTACATTGATATGAAAATTTCGACAAATACTATACTTTAAAGTATTTCGTTAAATTAAGAAGTTTATAAATGAAAAGTTGACTTCTAGCGATTTTTCATAGAAGTGGACCAGCTTGATTTTTGCATAAAAATATTAACGCTTGATATCTAATTTTATGAGAAACTTCTTAATTTCAGTACTTCATTAAATAACGAAAAATTATGGAATTATATAAAAAATAGCTAATAAAAAGTTTAGCATATGATAAATGTTGCTATAAAGGCTCTAATTATTACTTTAGATAACAGCATGGGACAGTACTGAGTGATATTAAATGTTCGCGTTCGCATATACGAGTTTTATATGCAGTTACAATACATATTGCCTTATTACTGGAACAGAAGACGGCATTAGTAATAAAACTTAAAAGGTTCACATTTATGCATGTTTAAACATAAAATGCAATCTTCAAAACAGCTGTTATGAGTACTTGAGTATTCTGAAAACTCAACTATGAAAAATGTCCCCTTTTATATTAAATCTCATTATAAGATACAAAGAAATCGGAAATTAACTGAACTTAAGATTACAGTAATCATTCATGAAAAGTTGTATATCTGGTAAATTTTATCGATGAATGTTGAGTGGTTTCAACAGAATGTTCTGAGAGCTATTAGGTCAACAAGAGAGCATAGGTTAATTGATGAAGGTAAAACAACTCCAAGACCATCTGCCTATGGAGAGTGAGGCCTTCGTGATGGACTTTTTATGGGTAAACTGGCTCAAAGCCATGCTACGTGTGAAAAGCCACTAAAACTAATCGTGCAGCTCGCCGGTTTTCGAACTCGAGTAGACAATGCGTGCATTTTCATTGCTTAAAGAAATTTCATTAGATTGTGCCGACTTAAGATAGGCTGAAACGTTTTCAGAACCATTTTCTCATGAAATGAAGATAAAGTTTGATATGAAGGATTATATGTTATATTCAGTATTGTTTTAAATTTCATTATGATTACATTTAACGCTTCTCGCCACAAAACTCATTAAAAGCCTTTTAAGGGCAACCAGAGTTCTGTTTCAAAAAGTTTTCCAAGAGAGCTTTGAACCCTTGCTTCATTAAGTGAGAACAGCCCAATTAAAACTCATTTAGTACTAAATAATTTTAAAGAAATCGGTATAAAATATGAAATGTATTTCTCATGTTCCGACACTACAAATTCTAGATCTGGGTAAATACTATCGCCACTAACAAGAAGAGAGGAACATGTTTTTCTGATACCAAGTTCTATTTGTTCCTGAAAACAGAAAATCATGTACAGCATTTTTTTAAAACTGTAGTTTATTCGATGATGCCCACTTAGTTTAATAATTAATAAATTTCAAATGTTATTGTAGAGTTAAAATTAGATTCACTCTTTAAATTCTCTTACACCAGGCTTTATAGAAACGAAGTTGGAGTTTCAGTTACATAGTTTTCACGAACTAATCCTTAAAATTTAAACAAAAGAAGTTGAAAGTGCCTTTCTCGATAATGTACTTTCCCACATTAAAAAACCTTCAGAAATGTACAATGTTCAATTACTTTCCTGTTATTTCCAGTTGTTCAGCAGTGGTACTTAACTTTTACCGAGAATTTAATTTGCTGATGTTTAACATTATTTTGCCCGTATTTTAAGAGGACCTCCCCCCTTCCCCAAAAAAAGCCCGTTTCATATCTTTTGCTATTTTTCTTTCGCTGAGGATACAACAAGAATTTTAAACATATTTGATTCATTTTAATATAGCAAAGCACTCGAGGACTATCTGCTTAAGAGAACTCATGTCTTCGTGGAGGACTTTCTAAGGGAAACTCGTATACACGTTACACACGAGAAAAACCACGAAAGCGTCCACGCAGCCAGCCCGTTCGCGAGAATTCGAACCTCAGAATCGAACTACCAGTGCTCAGGGACTTTACCGCTCGGCCGCAACCTTAAAAAGGATATTGCATAATTGAGGTTATTAGACAAGTCGAGGCGAATGCGGACGAAACTAAGAAAAATCCCAAGCCTCGATTTTACAAAATAATAAGAGCAAACGTCGCCATGACTTTACTTCAGTATATGTTTCCTGCGTTTGAATTTTAAAGATTGCAAATTCCATGGATGATACTTCTTAACCCAGAGTCTGTCTGAAATGCACACTCGTAAATTTAGGAATATTAAAGAACTCGTAATATAAGAAGAAAATTGTAAATTTACTAATTAACATCGTTCATGGCCATATACAAATGATGGAGAACATTGGAGGGATATTTTAACAAGTGGCATCAAACTTTTTAACTTTCTGAAAAAGTAAAAATTTTAAGTTACATTTCAATGTCAGTTTCAATCTCAAAATGGTCACATCCCTATGGTTCAGCTTGCTTTTCAAGATCGAATTGTACGAATACATACAACATTAATTTACTTCGGAAGTTGGAAACAAGTAAAAATTCTGCAATTTACTACCACAATAAGAATAATTTCGGGTTAGATTTCGAAAAACACGATATTGCCAAGAAAAGAAATTAATTTTTGAAGCAATACAGAGGAAAAAAATTGCATGCGATTATTATGCAATTTATTGTAACACGGCTTGTATAACTGACAATCAATCCTAACAAGTGTATCATAAGACACTATAGTTGTATGGTACGCATGAGCAGTTGGAAATTTTTAGAAATAAGAAAATTAAAATACTTAAAATTGCTTTGATTTCTCAACCAAATATAGCATAAATAGGCATAATTCATAGAATTAGGGGCATTTACTGTAAAGGAAAAAAAAAATTGCATTAGAATGATATTGGAAGAAATCTTGAAACCTTACGTTGAATAACAATTTTCGCACATAACAAGGTGCAAATCCTTTCGAAGAATTGATACATAAGCTGTTCCAATAGGAATAATATCTCCAGGATAGTAGAACTCTATTATCGGTCTATTGGCTCCCGTTTTCTCTATGGTCAGTAGTTTATCCTCTCCCGTCGTTTTTTTATCATCTCCCGTCGGTTTAGCGTCTCCCACATTGCCCACAGTCGGTTTAGAGTCTCCCATTTTGTCTACGGTCGGTTTAGAGTCTCCCATTTTATTACCCAACGCACACGCTTGCAAATTTACGAAAGAAGCGACGCCATACTGAGTATTATTTATGGAATTTCTTAGTTGAAGTTGTAGTTAATACTTAAATATCAAAAAAAAAAAAAAATGAATGCAGCAGCTCGAACTAGCATTAAATTTATTAGAAAAGAAAATGTCTCTCAGAAAATTATGGAAGTGTTATATCGTATGTTGCAAAATATCAACAATCTTGATAAGAATAATAATTAATAAATCCACGCTTCATTTATTCGGAAAAATTGCTTACCTGATCATAAATGCATAATCATTAATAGAATTCCTTATGTCAAAAATTAAAACATTTTATATTAAAAAGTAAAAAAGGGAAAATATGAATGAATGTCACTTACAGTTAACATAATTAAGAGGGATCCATATCCAAGGTCCAATTTCCGGTGCGATGTGTTCCGGTTCCATGAAATGAGGCCCGAAGGCCACGTGACAGCGCACGTTCGCGAGCGTGGATCTGCGGAGAGCAGCAGTGAGGGAAAGGAGGGGAAGGGGCCGCAGAGCATCACAGGCCTGAAAAAACATTTCATCGTCAGATATAGCTTTCTGGGAAAATAAGAATAAAATACAAAATATCATAAGCAAATGTAGATATAGACGCGTGACGTAGGTTCCGTCATTCCAACAAGTAGAGTCCAAAATAAGTAATGGTCCTTGGGATTCATACTCCCTTTTTCGTATCGATTTTTAATAACAGATGGCGCTACGAACGTGAGCGTTAAAATATTGAAATCTACGAGACTACCTACAGCCTGGTTACTATGGCAACAGCTCTTTGCTTAGCCTGTAGTAGTTTGGCGGGAAAGTGAATACCCCATAAAACACTTAACACATCCCCTCTAGGTGAACAAAAGGACCTGCTGTCGTTTCTCCCTTTTAAGCGTCTTTGACTCAAAGACTGCTGAGTGTATTTTATCCAGGAATAGAACTTTTCCACTTTTGTGCTCAATGAAAGATATCTGTGACATGTATACAGGAATAGCAGTTCCTTTTCGCAAAATTTATTCATCACGCTGGATGGTCTTTTTAATGTTGCATAAATGTTTTGTAATTTGCCATTATTCTACGGAAGAAAACGCTTTTTAAAAATACCAGATTTAAGCGTTTTCGGTAATTTCATCGCTACATAAAAATTATATAAATGATTTTATACTTACTATTAAGTGTATACGTATATAACGTACACATAATATTATAAATATACATAAATATAAAATAGAGAGCTTTATTTGACTTGTATTATAAAATCGTATGTATCCTATCTATATTTTTTTCAATGAAAAGTGGATAAAAACCATTATCAAACTTCGCTAATATACGGAGAAATAGTCTAATGTATCCATGTACACAAAAGTAGTAAAAAAATACTATTCTTTATGGAATATCTTTGGCAGCAATATCGAGATGTAACGGAAATTAGAAATCAATTACTAACAGGCATTTTATTATAAAAACATTACCAGGACGTGCATTATATGCATAGTGTGAAAATAATTTGCTGCACATTATCTGAGTTCCGCTCTGAATGAAAACTATATAACATGTAAGTGTTGAAATGAACGACTAGTTTCAAGATTTCACTTGATACTGAAATGTATAAAATGAAATTGCGTGTCTACGTAAAGATATCGGTAACAATTAAAGCGGTTGGTCATCGGTTTCCCAGCAGGTTACAGATATGTGTCAGAAAAGTGAATTCAGATAGATTACTGAAATAAAATAAAATCGAAAGCACAAGTGACTTGTGGGTTAATGATAACGGTGTCTTCTTGATTTCGCGATTCCATATTCCGCAGTTGGAAAAAGCTTTCCCGTTTTCTCGAAATCACCAATCTTCATTATAACCTCTTCACCCAGGAAAGAGGGTTGGGGCCGATAATCACTCTCGAATGAGAGGAAAACCACAAATTTTAGATGAACAATGGGTCGCCCAGACAAAATAGTGTTTAGGGGAGCCCACTGCGATACCAAACGGCCCGGGTTCGAACCCCACAGAAGGCACGGTTGTATTTGTTCGTCCGCTCATAAGAGACAAAGGTGGGTCACCTATTAGGTGTCTCCATCATAAAGTGGCCACCATTCCTGGCCTTAATAGTGACCAAAGTCTGTGGTTTGGACTTGCCATTGGAGAAAGAAAAAAAAAAAAAAAAGATGAACAATGGAATTTTTAAGAGAAATAGACAAATGTCTAAGAATATTGGCATTAATAAAGGGGAGAGAGAGACATTGAATCTCTGGAATGATTTTGGCAAAAATTACTTTAATGGGGGCAAAAAAATCCAATCTCATAGCCAAAGACCATTTCCAATCTCATAGAGTAAAAATAATATCGATACAGTGCTTTGTTCCGAAATTATGTATAAAAGTGAGTTATGGATCGTTTAAAATAAATATTTGTTGCAAAAGAAAGGTGGATTAGGGAAAAATACACCTTTCAGTGCTCAAGGTTCTGCCCCAAGTGAAAGTTTTTTTTTTTTTTTCTAGCTGCAGACAGTTAAAGGCATGATTGAGAATGTAGCATCTGAATCTCGACTGAATGCAGTTGCTTTATTTTCAATCATCGAAACATCCGTATAAATTAAAAGTAATTATTGGTAAATTTGTTAGTCATCAATCCTAATCAAAGATTGTAGAGACATTAGGATTTTTTGGAAGCAAAGAGAGATGAAAAATTAGCCACCGCCTTCACCGGGAATCGAACCATGGACCTCTGGAATACCGGCCCAGCGTGCAGAACCACTACACCATGAAGGTACGCTAGGAAGGCGGAAGAGATACCTTATATACTTCCCCTTTTAAAGGGCGACTGGGGTTTTTAGGGGACCCAATCACCAAATCCTGGGTGAGGAGAATCATCATCCAAACTCCTTTTTAGTTCAGGCGCCACTGTAGAAACATTAGGTTAGTTGGAAAAGTCGGAGGGATGAAAAATTAGCAATGCCTTCGCCTGGAATCGAACCACAGACCCAGTGTGCTAGCCTAGAATACCGGCCCAGTGTGCTAGCCATTACACCATGAAGGCACGCTAGGAAGGTGGGAGAAATACCTTATAAGATTTAATTCAAGAAGTTACTGTAGAATATTTGTTTTTCATTTGAGGAAATGTAGCATAGAAATTTTTAAAATATGCCCCATGATCCAGCAATGTGTGAGTAATTTTTGGTAAGTAGCGAAAACTTCTGCCTTTTTTTAATTATAATGATTATACGTGTTTGAGATAATAATTATATATAAGTATATATAATTATTATATGTAAAGAAAAGAAATTATTGATGAATTTGTTAGTTTCAAAGATTCAATCCAAGAAAGTACTGTAAAGTAATGAATTGTTTTTATATGAACGATGAAGCACAGACGTTCCCAAAGTATCGTGTAATTATATATATATATATTGAATAATTATATGCATACAGTAAAATCTCTTGTAACCGGCATCCAATTAATTAACCGGCTATGTCAAAATAGCGGCACTTTTGAAAGTCTAAATTTAAACGCAAAATTTATGTCTATGAGATAAAAAGTAAGTAATTTGCTAACAATCTGAAGACATAAATGGAGATTTGTATTGGATAATTCATCGACTGTACACTGGAAAATTTATTCATTGGATAAGGTTGCCCAATGCAGCAAGTCTTATCCAATCAAGGAATTACCCATTAAAGAGGAACTTCTGATCTCTTTTCATGCGCCGATGCGTGAACTAAAGTCGATGACTTTCAGAGACATTGAAAAACGCCTCTTGCAGGGAAAAGTGGGAAAAAAAATTACTTTACATTGTTGATGGTGTAAATTATTGTGTATGATTATGTTAACAGATGATGAGTCGAGTGCATGACATTCGCAGATGTGAATCTGTGACTGTAATGACTGTTCGCAAATGGCAAGCCGAAAATTTTCGTTTTAAAGAACATCTGGGCCCCGGTCCTATCCGACACCTTGGCTCTATTTAGACATGTTCGAAGAACATTAGTATTAGTGAAGAGGAGGAGTAGATCTGGATGGATATGGACAATTCTGTCCCCATCTCACTCTCTCAAGACGACGACGAAATAACCGGACATGGACTGGGAAAGGAAAAGGATGAGGGAGAGGATGAAGATGAAGAGGACACGCTAAATGAAAGAGCTACATGGAAGGAAGGTAAGGAAGGATCGCAAACTTTCGTAAGATTTGTCAAGCAAATTTCATCTACGTCAGCACATAGATGAATTTTTATAGGTTATAAGTCTATTTTATACACACAGGGGGGAATTTTCTCGCAAGCAGACAAAAAGTTAAATATCATCACACTAACAAACTGGTAACTTTCGGGAGATAATACATAAGGTTATTTTGTATTATTTTATTCTGAAATATAAAAATATTTGTGTGTTTTTAATTTATATAATGTGCACGATTTTCAATATTATTTATTTGATACCGGCAGATAGATCGAAAACACAACCAACGGACTTTGCATGCTGCAGTTTCTACAGACAGCAACACAAAAAAATTGAAAGATAAGTTCTAGAATTTTTTTCTTTTCAATTTCAGGCACTTGCCTATAACGACATTGACCACTCCTAAGGCTTGAGGCGGAGGCACCTAACAGGCAGCCACCATTGCCTCCTATGAAGGGACAGACAATTTTACATCCATGCCTTCTCCGGGATTCGAATCCAGGCCCTTCGGTATCGCAGTCAGTCTTCCATAACTACTTTACCGTCTGGGCAGCTTTCTAGAAATGTACATTCAGTTATCCGGAATTTATGAGGTCTCGTTGCTGCCGGTTGAGAGGTGTAGGTGTGGAGGTGTGTGTGATTTGGGCTTTGCCATAATCTAAAATTTTTTATATGTATACCGTGTGTTGTCGCCAATAAAGTCTGCTTGGCGAAATTTGCGCCGGCGAAACGGAAAAGTACTAAGTATTTTAATATCTCCATTGCTTTGGTGGTGATGTATTTAATTACGGCAAAGCACACTAGGGCTATCTGCCTAAGGGTAGAGATGCCTTCGTG